CACACACACTCACACACACACTCACACACACACTCACACACACATACTCTATCTCACACTCACATCTAACAAGAGACAACTTTCCACTTTAGGTTAAAAATAGGAAGCTAAAAGCCCATTTCAAGCCCATCTCCCTGGCTTCTCTTAGACCCCCTCCAGATTGGTCCACCCTGACTGTTGCAACAGGGATAGCTGTTTCATTAGATTTGAGAGATTTGAGAGTGACACATAGGTTTTGAGTCTGAATTAAAAATCCCTAAGCCAGGCCAGCCAGTGTCATCCACATGGCCTCTGTCTTTCTCTTTAGATCGAAAGGCATGACAGCTGTGCATATGACTATCTGGAAATCCGAGATGGATCCACAGAGGAGAGTGCCCTGATTGGCCACTTCTGTGGCTATGAGAAGCCAGAGGCTGTCAAGTCCAGCGCCAACCGACTGTGGGTGAAGTTTGTGTCCGACGGTTCCATCAATAAAGCAGGCTTCGCAGCCAGCTTCTTCAAGGGTATGGCTTAGCAGTTTGTTCCTGTATTCATTCATGGGAAGAAATACTGCTTTCCCCAGTGTAAGAATCTCCAGATCTATACGAGACCTTAGCAGTGTGCAAGGCTGAGTCAGGGAGGAGGCTGCTCATCCAGAGCTGCTGGTGGGCCCTGTGGGGTTCATACGTAGGAACAGGTTCTACTTGGCTTCTGCAAGGAGATTTCTATTCGGGAAAATGAGAGTTAGTGATTTTTTTGAAGGGTATGTGTGTGTTTGTGCATGTGATTGAATGTTCATACGAATGTGGGTACAAGTATGTGTGTGGGGGGGGGCTACATGTGTGTGTGAGGCCTGAGGCTGACGTTAGCGGTCTTTCTAAGAGATTTCTACCGTATCCTTTGAAGCAGGACCTCTCACTTTGGCTAGCCTAGCTAGCCAGCTCTCTCCAAGGATCCTTCTGCCTTCTGCCTCTACAAGTGCCTGGCACTCCTTGGTGTGGGTTGGAAAGGCAACCCAGCTCTTTCACTCCAGAGGCATTCGCTCCCATCCTCCATGCTTGTCCCCAAGGGAGGGAGTGGGAGGACAGTAAGGGAACAAATTTCCTTGATGGACCCAGGCCCAGACCACAAAGGCAGACCCAGCATAAGAAAGGGCTTCCATGTTTCCTCTGACAAGCAGAAACCCCAAAGGATACACACCATCCTGAAGAAGGACATGGTATTCCCTGGGTCTGGTTTACTGTGGCTGGGTGCCAGGAGCATGCCAACCATCAGGAGTGTAGAGACAGAGGGTCCCTGCAGTTCCTTCTTCATGGTTCCCTCATTATGGTACCACTTGGCGTCCAGCCACCCATACCCATTTCAGGGGAACTGTGTCCTGCCTTCCTTCCTCTTCTGTGTCTCCTGGCTGTGACAGATAAAAAAAATCCCAATCCCTTCCTTCCAAACTCATCTTCCTTGTGTCTCCTTTCCATTTTATTGTCTTAATTTCTGAGAGAGGGTATTATACTGTAACCCAGGCTGGCCTGTAACTCACTCAGACTCATGGCCATTCTCCTGCCTCAGCTTCCTGTGCTCAGATCACAGATGTGAGCCACTATACCTGCCTCTGCCTCTTCTTAGATACAGTTCCTAGGTTCTCCATAAAGGGATGACTATCAGAAGAACTGACTTCAAGACATACCACCCTGCTAGGCAGCCTCATTTCCTTATTGGAGCCTTGGTTTCCCCTTGTAGTACAGGAAGAAGAAAGTCTGTTGAGTTGTGAAGCTCCAATGAAATGATGGTTGGACACTCTTAGCAAGCTGTTGAGTCCCAAGTGATATGTGGGGTTATTGTTCTTCCCTTTGGGGCATCCAGTGAAAATCTTAATGCCCAGTGATTAATTCCCTTGACCAGCGAGGGCACTGTAGGATGTCCCAGAGCACAGTGTCTGGCTTGCCTGTCTTTGCCAGGAGGAGGGAACTGGAAGCATAACCACAGAGCCTGTGGCAGAGCTGGGGTGAGCCAGAGAACCTTGTGCCTTGATGCCAGTTGGCAACAACCTTTGCCTGGGGCCCAGCTGGCCCATAACACTGGCCATGGTGCCAGCTGGCCTCAACACTGATCTCCTGGTGCCAGATGGCAGCCCCTCAGAGCCAATTGGCTAGGCAGCAGGCAGAGCATTACACGTCTGCTTACTTTCAGAGAGGATGGTGGCATTCAAGGCTTGGCTGGCCCCTCAGCCCTACACAAGGAGTGTGAAATCCCACTTGAATCCCTACACACTGCCATTCCAGTGCGCAGGGGCTACAGGGATGTAGAGTGGTAGTGGAGGCTTACTCTGAGGTCTTCAAAGTCCCCAGATATGCTCACTTGAACTTCCCTTTCCTTACCTCTCTCTGAAATTATTTGAAGATCTTGTCTGGGTTTCATTGCTGAGCCACAGAATGGCTCCTTCTTTTCCCATGTACCTAGGGGATGGTATAAAGCCAGGGAAGGCTCTGACCACAATCGGCTAAGCTCTGGTTCCAGCCAATTCTATCTGCATGCTCTCAGGTCTCCTTTGAGGCTGTGCACTGTGTGGAGTGAGCGTGAGCCAGTGGGCTTGGTGCAGGTGATACCTTGTGGCACTGTGGAGGCCATGTAACCAGCCAGACCCTGGCAAGAATGGAGCCCACTTGCCTGCCACTTACCCGTGCTGGAACGGTGTTGCAGACAGCAACACAGCCCACTTACTCTTGCAGCTTTTCTTTGCCACCCTTTTGTCTCTGCCTGAATTTTTTTTTTCCTGGCTTTAAGTCCATCCCACTAATTTCTCTCCCTCT